TGTATTGTTGAGCATATGCATTTTCAATGCAGACTATGGAATGAAGCAGTAAGTGTACGATCTTTAAACGAGATTACTTACGCTATAGAAAAATAAATACCGAACAAATATTTAAATTTCAATAAATTTTATAAAAATCGAGTTCATTTATAAAATCAAAATTCAATTTTCTTAATTGTGACTTAGGTGTAACCGTATAATTACTGTATGTACTAAAATACTATGTAAGATTTTGACCAGCTTTGACTTCAAACTCAACGAACTTGTGTCTAAGATATACATATATCAACATATTCATGAAAAACGCTAAACTTTTTTAAAACTGGGTTAAACGACTTGATTTTTTGTTGTATGACAGATGGACTAGTCTACTAAATTATGAGTAAAATACTTTTTTTTAAATTTTGCTATTATTTGAAATGAAAAAAGAAAAGATAAAAGATAAAAAATGCTTTTTGTAGATCTCTGTAATTTATGTGCATGGTGAAAATTTCACTGAAATCAGATGACCTCGATATGAGCTGAAAGATCGCAGTTTTGTCACGATTTTTGACATTTTCGATCGATAACTGTCAGAAATTTACAGTTCATCATTGTTAAATAGGCTAATCCTTCTTTTATCTAAAAAGAATTCAAATCGTTTAGTTCAGTTTTAAAACTGTTATATCGGTTTTCAATTGCCGCCACTGTATGTACATGTGTATATGGAATATTTAATCCCCTCTCATTTTCCTGTGAATGTTATATGTACATTCGCTAGTGTCCATACGTAAAAATTAAACTCAGTACTTAATTTTTATATTAATTATTTCACGTTTTCCATAGAGCGTTTGTTAATTACATTCTGTGGAATATTATATGTACGTATAAATATAAATATATAGATAAAGAAAAAATATATTTCCATAACTAACATATGTAAAAATGACGTATCTGTTATACATATGTAATTAGAACCATGTTTCGCGCTTATTTCTTGAACATTATCTAATAGGATTGTTTTCAGAAACACATGTACAATAACAATTACTTTTGCTCAATACACTTGTATTAGATGTTGTAGTCATTCATTATGGAAGCAATTGAAAATAAATGTCCCCCACGTTTTCCAAATAATCTGTTTTGGCCGACATACAAAAGTTTGTGATATAATAGTACGACCAATGAATGAAACTATTTTTATACAATAGTTCGATGAGTGTGTTACGAATTTAGAATCATGAATTCACTCTATGATTCCATTTTTATATACGTTAAAATATTTACGATTCCACGAATTTATTAACAATGTCTGAATTAAGAAAATAGAGTAACGTATTAATTAATTAAATGATTCTATTTGTAAGTATAGAATAAATTAAGTAAGTAGTACACGTAGAAAATTTTGTTCTCGAAAAAATTAATTAAATGGCCAAACAGTTTTATAGTTACATACATCCGGCTATTTATTACCGAGTATTACTTGAATATTTCTTTCATTTATTATTATCTGTTTACTGCTTGCTGCATCGATTTATTTGTCATTATTTATTAGTAACAAATTAAGAGTAAATTATTTAATATAAATAATAAATATTGATATCTTTATGAAAATTGTACATACTAGAATAAAATAAATTGAATTGAATTGAATTGAATTAAGTTGAATTAGATAAATTAAATTAAGTTAGTTTCTTGGAAGATATTAGGGTTTTCCAAGTCTCGGTAATCATTGAATCTTCTTTTCCTTATTCTATCGCTTTTTGTTGAAATGAAAATTTTAAATACTACAAACCCAAGCAACCCCTAATGACATTTGTCACGGTCACTCTCATAAATACACATTTCAACAAACATGCGGAACAATCGAAACGTCAGGTGTTCATGTACTCTCCCACGTTTTGTGACACCGTCTGATTCGTATACTTCGATTATATCGTAGCACGCAAGTCCACGAATGACCGACATGTACTCGTTCCACGACGAAAAATATCAACTTGCGGTTCGTCATTGCGGCACACGTTGTACGTCGTGCATTGTACCTAGGGCGGCTATGCATTATTTTACTCACAGTTATGCTGTCGCATGCACAGACGATTCAGTGTATTTCGAAGCGAAGGGAAAACTAGACTGATCACGATATACATAACTACATTTTGAATTGTAAGTTCTAAACAACTGTCTCAGTCGATCTTCGTGAGATGATGTGAATAGTGCTCACTGTTTCTTGAAAATATTGTCATCGTAATCGTAGAGTGAGACCTCGCAACATTGTTGTACATTCGCCAAGTGAATATTCCTAATGCAATAAAAGTCAGGACGTAGAATTGGTTTGTAAATTGTTGCCAAAGTTTTAGAGAAAGCATCAAATCATAGATAACTGTTATAACAATAACAGGTACACGAGAAAGGATAATGACATTTAACGCAATTTATAAAGAATGAGGAACTCAGTTCCTGAGGGTCAGACGTTTAAATTAGATTAACTTATATAAGAATACCATATTGTTCACTGTTAGTTACATTTGCTGTATAATCGGATTCGTTAACTATATTAATCGCTGTTGCATTCGTTTATTAGGCACGTTCGGAAGACTTTATTATAAGCAAGGATTATGTAAGGCAAGAAGTATAAAATAACAATTGTCGTTTTTGATGACGATAGCTGCTACGTTCGTTGACGAAAATAAAAGTGGTCTAGCTTCTGCGTAAGCAGTCGAATGATGCCATCTTCATTTTGTCTTCCGGATCAGTTCGTACATACGTAGGTGTCTTTCTGCACTACGATCGTATCTCACACCTTCATTTTTGCACGCTTAATTGTAAAGTTGTACCTTATCTAACGTCCGCATTACGGGACGATTTCTCAAGTTTCTCAATAATTATGGTTAAATCACACAACACCATGTCCACGTAAACGTCATAAACACATTGCTACTTTTATCAGCACGGCGGGATTCGTCGTGAGAAATAGTTGTTTACGTGATTGTCAACAGCCCCTCGTACGTACCGACCACGCTTATCACGGTTAAGAATTTATGTCAACCGAAGTTTCGCACTTCTGAGTTTATTTTGGCATTATTGTAACTTGGCAACTAAACTGATCGTACAAGGCTAAAACAAGAACAGATAACCTCAAATAGATAAATTACAAAGAGGATCTCGCGAAATACTAGAAAATAATATTGGTTGGAAATTTCATAAGAAAAGGAAAACAAGAAAATTAGTCTTGTTCCACGCGTTGAGATATAAACATCGAGTAATCGTTCTTCTATGTAAGTTCTGTAGCGAACCAAATGGTTCATGCAAATAAATATGATCGTCTAAACGATTGAACGCGTTCGATAAAGAATCAATAATATTCTATTAAAGCAGTAATTCATTTAAGAAATCCAACTTTAAAAAATTGCCAGTATGATACGTATAGCCCTATATACAGTATCGTGTTATCGTGAATGCTATTATCTATTACGTGATTGTAGCTCGGCATATCACCGTGATATAACTTATGAAAAACTTAGAGCCTAGCTATTCGGTCGATTCACCTTTGAATAAAGTATGAACGTTCCATCAGATGGCACGTGCCCTAGTCTAAAGGACTCTCGGGTCATGCCAGACTTTTACACAACACAACTATTTACTATTGAAGAATTAATATGTCAGGTTCTTCACCTTCTTCGCACGTAACTTACTGCGTCGGTGGTGTCAATCAGTTATTTGAATTATCGAAGTTAGCGTTAAAAGTTGTACATAAAGAATTTTAAAATGTCCAAAAATTAAGTAGTGATGCGTTAGGAGAGTAGATTGTGTCATGCAGCAGACATACATATTTAAAGAACGTGAGCTGTTGCGATGTAGTCAAGAATGGTCATGCTGTGTTGCATGTTTCATAGGTGACGTACATGACCGTGGTTTTACAATCATAAACACGTACTTTTCGTGCAATTGATATCAGGAAAAAATTCTTACAACATTAAAATAGATGGAAACAAATTTTTAATGGCAAGATGGAAGTTTTTTATTGAAACGAAAGTTGTATATTAAAGTTTCATCGTACAAAGATATTATTTGTTTACTATTTTCACACAAATTTTATTTTTCTACAATATACCTGTTATTTCGCGAAAACCTTACAGTCTATTCGATTTACCTTGAATTCGGAAATCGAGTGATAATAGGAACAAGGTATCGAACGACACGCTCCTTCAAAGTGAGTCTGAAGTTATTCCTAGAAGCAAACCACTTTCCCCTACTACATACATCTTCCGTACCATAGTCACGAGTTGACGGTTGACGCGTCATACGTGTGGGCCCAATATAGGCCCAACAACCGTGTCAGAGATTCCATTCGTAAACAGAACTGTCTCGAACTACTTTATTAAATCCAGTTCAGTTTGGATGTCTCTGTCTGAAACTGCCGAAGCAAGAGGCTAATCCTCCCGTTTTGTCATCATAATACACGAATATCAGTTGATGTCAATTATCTCTTTAAGTGAGCTTAAATTTAATAGGACGATTGCATGTACTCATGGACGAAACTGTCAAGAATCAATACTACAGTGACAAACATCGATTTTGATGTACTTTTGGTAAAAAGTAATTTTCACGAAATAGGACTTCTTCGCATATTTCTCTTGTTTCCAAAAAATATATATTCAAGTACAAAATATGCATAAAATGAAATTTATATTTTTGCACAGTAAAAATTTTATCTTCATATTTAACATTTTGGATCAATTTATTTATAGCAAACAAAACAATTGTTTCTTATGATTTAAAAAATTAAAAACTCAAACGACCGATAAAAATTAGCACGATTCAATGCACATTTGTATATACGTCATCCAACATAAGATTCACAGAATTACGAATGGTACTCAAATTGTACTTTCAACTGTTCGATTATTTTCGTCAAGTACTGTCAAGCGATTATTTTCTACTTATCAGTACGAGAAGCATTTTAAGTATGTTGCCTGGTGAGTACACTGTGTTCTTATGAATCTTATCAAACTTATCAAATTACTCAGATACCAAAAATAAAATTGTTGAAAGTGCTCAAGATATTTTAAATTAATGACTTTAATAATTGAAAACAGACAATTAATTTCTGTAAGAGTAAAAAAGGAGAACTTAATTACAATCGTTTAGAGTTTAGAGATTAGAGATAGATTAGAAAGAATTAGACATTGAAATAAAGAATATATTTAGGTAAAACAGATTTCTTTACATTGAAATTAATTTTTTATGAGGAGACAACTTGTTTTCCCTAAAAAATAGCTCTAATTATAAGTAGAATATACTTTAGAAGGTCTAAGCAAACAGCTTTAACTTATGAGGAAGAAACGATCGAATGATAGAGCTTGTTAAAATATAATAAGAAATATTTGGTATAATGCAACGTTCAACACGTTCAAATTTTTAGGATATGTATACATATAGTCGAAACAATAACGTATCGGAAATACGTAGCCGTGTGACGGCGCCACAAGAGCGTCGCGACGCACCTCGACGCGACGCAAGCTATGGTCGTCAGGCGGCGCCGGTCGTTCGTCACGAAACGAGGCGGGGTTGCAGAAGGGAAGTTCGCATGAAAGAAAGAGAAGGAAAGACTCAGCGAATTCACGCAACGTGAACTTGAGGAAAAGAGAAAGAGCCGAGGAGAATCACGAACGAACGTACGGCGAAACTAGCGCCCCGGTTTTACACTCTCTTCGTTACTTTCCTGCCTATCCTATCGTGAGACAAGCACAGTTCGCTTAGTTAAATGCCAAATCGTGACACCATATCACCCTGATCCTTTTCAGAGATTCCCTCCCATTTATCGTTCGTCTTTTTTTACATTTTCTATCTTACTGTCCATTCTTGCCTCACGCCAACAACGTCGTTCTCTCGCTGATCACTTACAAAAATATACGAAAACCTGAACCTGTTACTCCGTAGCTTTCTGTAGTGATTTCGCAGTGCACATCCGAAAGAAATAGAGATAGGAGAGAGGTCGAAGCAGAAGACAACGAAGAATACTTGTGCGTGAAACGATACGAATGCATGTGTGCATCATGCGTGCTTTTCTTACATGTGTATGTATTACATCGGTACGAGGTACGATAGTGTCTCGTCGTAGGTCTCTTTCGATCCTACCAGTGACTAATTGAGCGTGCACATTCAGCGACTTTATGGCTGGACAATGCATCGACCAGGATAACGCCGGAGCAAGGAGACAACAAGAAATCCTTCGAGTTCTGTGAACATCGTCTGCCTTCATACTTGTTCCTTTCGTCCATCTCATGGGTATGCGTTCGAAGTTGTTTCATGTAATAATATTCAATTTGTTTTCATAGCCTCATATATTCAAATTTCAAACCGATCAACATCTTCCTATTCTCGTATATATGTGTGCAATTTCTAAGTTTTCGTTCATATTCGAGCAGAAACGTACACGTGTTGCACGCGTGTTCTATGTATGTGCATAGATACATCTACGTAACCATGCACGCCGGTTTTAAAATATTCGTGTAGGTACCTATTTTCGAGCAGCGACAGTAATAGATAGACATTTTGTAATCTATATACAATATAAAAGTTAAAAAGTCAATACCTTTTAAAGGAACGTTCAAGTTTATTCAGCGGTCGACCGAACTACTGTCCAATGGATAGTTTGCAGTTATCATAATTCTCGTTCAATAGTTGCAGTAAAATCCACGTTACAGATTATTCATTTGCACAGGTGTACATCATAAAGTCGTCTATTAATTAGTGATGTCTTGTTTACCTTCAATATATGTTACGTTTGTAATTGAGAGATTGTAATATTTTGATTTTATTTACTTATAAATTTTTTTAAATCCGTGTCGACTGTTTTTTTCGATACTAAACACGTGTATGTCTAACCATGGCGTGTGACTAACATTGTATGCATTAGTAAATAAATAATTGCATTCATACGATACGAAAGAACCTTTGAATTATTTCGATTGATGTAAACTATATACGCACGGTGAAAATAGGAACAAGGGTAAACTAGGTATATTATCAAAATTGTTCCTTAGGCTCGTGCAAAAGCGAAATTAACCTACTTTGCTAATGCCCACACATAGACTTAAATCATAGTGTTCCTTTTCAACGGTTTCAATAGTTTACATATGAGAATTGCTGTCTTTGTTCTGCTTTGAAAATATTATAGCTAAAACCATTTTTTTTTCAATTTATTTAAATTCTTCTAATGGGTCCTCACAACCTCGAACGAATATTCATATTGAAGAATACAAAGTTATTAGTAATTCAGACGAGTAAAACCGCGATAGGACTTAGTGTGGTAAATCAAGGAGATAAGAAATACCAAGTACATACTTAGCTGTTTATAACATTCCGCGTTATGACTATTACGGTAATCAGTATTATTGTTATTAACTGTCCGATAGCAGAGATTTTATAAAAAATTAGGAAATATAAAACCAAGAAATTCGACAATAAGGTTCGAATGAATAAATGATTAAAACAAATTTACATTGTTAGTCACGTATTCCAGAATACTATATCGCTATCGCTCACGCGGCAAGCAAAAAATACAGAACTGGGGACAAGTGTTATCAGACGAGGAAGGTCTGATATTTAGAATCGTCTTTGTTATTTGTTTTATCGGTCTTTTATTACCTGATTACATGTCACATTAAATATATTGATTGGGAAATGCGTGAAATTAAGACATTATTGCTAAACATATTTATCACATTTTTTATATGATTAGAAAGTTGTTGTTATTTGACAATCATTCTAATAACAGACAAGATCATGTTACAAATCTTTTTTGCGTTATATTAATAGATATATTATTTTTTTAGCACAAATTTTGTCGTATGAGAAATCAGTTACAAGGAATTCAAGCGAAGAAACGACAGAAAGTACAACGAGAAACAAGATCGTTGATACCGGCCGATAATGATGCGATAACTGGAGAGGGTGAAATCGCGCAGAAGGCAAATGGATCGAACGATAGACGATACAAAAATCCACCGAATAATGTGCAATACTTTATGGCCATCTCTACATGCAAAATTTAAAAGATCGCTCACACTGCGTAAACAAATTATTCGATAAAGCATGAAAACTTCCTATAAAGATTTACAGTGACGAGATTGTATAATGATTTTAAACGTATAACAAAACAACATCAATTTGTAAAAAAGAAAACAGATCGCATGTTTTTCGATCGTTCGTGTTGGATTAATAACAGAAATCATTATGGACGAAATAAAGGTGGCGAACTTGGGTCAAGCGGCTTCGGCCGCGTGCTCGATGGCAACGAATTTTTTGGCGCCAGTGAAAACCGAACGGCAGATCTACGAGAATTCGATGCTCGAGGACGATCCCAATGCCAACTCGGTGGTACCGACTTCGCAAGAGGACAGGACTGTACCGAGATGGGGTCCTAATCACAAAGGCGCCCAAGAATTAGCAAATCTTTACAGCACTGGTAATTATTTTAACCATTATTTTCCTATTTATCAAACTCAATTTATCACCTGTTCAGACACATTTGTCATAAATGCATATGGTTCGAAAATTTTGTTACATTGTTTTATATAACATTTTTACTAACAATTTTTTGACAATTAATGTTTACGATTGTACTTAAATTAAAACGCTAGAGTAATATTCATGCGACATGTACGCGTCTTGCATGTATGTTTTCTGATTTCAATACTTGCCAAAACATCGTCTATACATTGGCCGCACCTTGGAATCTTCGCTTGTGTGCAAAAATAAAGAGTAGTCCAACAATATGTATCTTTACATCTATACTGCACAGTACTTATAAAGACACTATTGTAATTTCCTTTGTTTATGCGATTGCATGGACGTACTACATGTATATTGAGTAATTGAATTATATACTTTTGGGATATTATTAATGTATCTTCTTTTTGTTTTAGGAAAAAGGACGCAGGAGTGTATTTGTGTTGGTATCTGCATTACACTTATGGTGGTTAATTCAATATTTATCCTCGTTAGGTTACGATTTGAAAACTTGAGCCCTATAGCGGTAGCGGCGTTTTGTGGCATCGTAACAGCAGATTTCGGATCTGGTTTTGTCCACTGGGCTGCCGATACATGGGGTTCTGTAGAACTTCCTATTTTAGGAAAGGTATAAACAACACTTGGAAATATTAAAAGAAATAATAAGTAGTATCTATTAAAAAATAACTTGCACATGAATGGTTTCATTTACTTTTCTGAGTTCTTATGACCAATCTAACTATGTAATTGTAATACCGACATTGTAACAAAGCTTCTCTATTAATTTAATAATGTACATCATTTGATGTGCTGTTAAACATGAATATATTTATTTACAGAATTTTTTGAGGCCTTTTCGAGAGCATCACATTGATCCCACAAGTATAACGAGGCATGACTTTATAGAAACTAACGGTGATAATTTTATGGTCACAATACCATTCCTTTGTAAGTTAACATGGGATTTTTTAACACTCCCAGAATCAGAGATTCAGCAAAAGTTTGTGTGCACCTGTTATTGGTTTCTACTTGCAATTTTCGTAGCAATGACTAATCAGGTAAATAAATCAGAAGTTCATAATATTTTTACACAGAAGTACAGTTCAATTTATATAGATATAGACTATGAAGGACTTAACAAATGTATAGTTTTATTTGATTCAGATAATTTTGGGCTAATCTATCTTTTTGTATTTTTAACTCCACTAAGAGTAACTATCAAGGGACGTTTGTGAACCCATAAAATCCAAAAATTATGGAAGCACACACAAGTAGAGTAAGTTATGTCTAATAGGATTATATTTTTTGGTGCTGATACTCGACTTAAAGGGATGAAAACAGCCCTTGAAAAATCAGTATTTTTTTTTTCACGAAGTATCTTAAAAATATCAAATGGCATTAAAAAGAAATTGCAATAAAAACTACATCGGTTTATCGTATCTACAAAACTGTACATATTTTTTTAAATTTAATTTAATTGTAATTTTTGTTTCAACTTTTTTTAAAATATTATTTGTCGTTTTTGACATATTTCACGAAAAAGAAAACACTAAAATTATTTTAAAGACTGTTTTCATTTCCTTATATACCAAAAAATACGGTTGTATTAGGCATAACTTACTCTATTTGTATACAATGTTCCATAATGTTTTGATTTTACAGGTTCATAAACGTTCTGTGTAAGATTTACATACTTCACTCTTCATTTTCAATTAAAATATTTACGGTATGTCAATAATTTTCTTTTTTTTAGCATTCCTATTCTTTTTTATTGACTATATAGATTTAATGTTAATATAGAGAGGTATAATGGCAATAATATGGAAGATTTTTTTTCAGATACATAAATGGTCTCATACATATTTTGGACTACCTGCTTGGGTTGTGTGGTTACAAGAACACAGAATTATATTACCCAGGAAACATCACCGTGTACACCATGTCGCACCACATGAAACTTATTTCTGCATTACGACAGGATGGTTAAATTGGCCTCTAGAAAAACTTCATTTTTGGTACATATTAGAAGTCATAATTGAAAAGTCCACTGGTTTCAGACCAAGAGCGGATGATTTGAAGTGGGCCCAGAAACGATCTTGAGAATTAATGTGGTTCATTGTTTTATGCATTTTTATGGACAAAAAACAAATGTAGCAGGAGGTGAAACTTTCTATGGATCTATAATTTCGTGGAAAGATATAGAAAGGAGTTTCGAACATTGGAAGGAAAATTAAACTAATGAATATAACTTTTTTCTTACACTTAGCACTACGAGGCCTTTCCTACAAAATAGATAGCGTGATTAAAGACATTTAGTATTACTTGAACATGCTTTTGAAGTTTACACATTTATAATACGTATGTGCAATAATATAGATGTATATATTCTATAAGAAAAATGTGAGTACGAAATCATATTTGCATAACTATAAACAATTGGCCTGAGAAACTAAGCAATTATACGTTTATGCACTGCACAATCATTATACAAATAGCACAAACTTCGACAAAATTTAATTTAATGTTTTACATCGTAATTTTAAAAACAAACGAAGTATTGCAAAGTTGAGATTAAAATATTGCACACATTATACAACATAAGTGGCTATGATATGAAATCGAGTGTTAAAAACAAATATTGAAACATATATGTGTATATATATATACATATATGAAAATATGTGTATGTATATGTATGTATATATATGAATGAAGTAATATTTACATATAACATATTTATGAAGTAATCTAAAATTTGTTGCTTACATTTGTTTACAAGCAATGTAAACAGTGTAATTTTGAAAAGAATTTATAATTCAAATTAATGTGCTAATTCACACAAATCTAGTCTGCTGTAACTGCTTGAGCACAGTCATAAATTTCCCTGAACCTCTGAAAAATATTGAGCCACTGAAATTGAGAATAAAAAATATTAATTGATTTGTAATAGCGATATTTTATCCGATATGAATATTGTCAATTTAAATAGTACCTACTTATACACGCATATTGTAAAATCAAGTACTTCTCCTTTTTTAATTAAAAAAGACCACGATTGATATACAATTTATACTTTACATGTTTTAACACAACTTGCTACCGATATTTAGAATTTTTAAAATCGGCTATCTGGTTTTCAATTCTGGTTGGATAATGTTGTCACAATTTGAGCTAAGATCCTTATAATGGTGTTCAGTGTAGAATTTATAATAAAAAAATTTTGAGCTTTATATACAAAAATAAAAATTTTACAACGCTTAAAAATATTATTATAACTTCGTTCGATATAAACAAATGAATGCCGCTTTTGTTTTTTGCATTAACTACATTCTTAATTTGTGACACTCTAACAAACATAAAAATAAGGTGCTAAGCATAAGTACAAGTTCTAGGTTCAGGGACCAATCAAGGACCTATTATTGCTCTATGCAGCAGTCTTCTAAGTAATTGGTTTGGTTTGGGTAAAGTATACTGACGAACAAATAATAATGGGAAGGTGGCTGAATATTTATATATAATAATAATTAATAATAAATCCTATGCTGCTGGTGACTTTAATTTTTACACCTACTGTATTTTTTATTGGCAATCACTTTGAACGCCTTGTGACTTTCAGTATACTTTATGCAGAGCTCTTTACCATGATATATATGTTCCTTGCAAGCAAATCATTAGTAATGTCTTTGAAAGGAAACAATAATTATAAGACATTGCAATTATAATAAGTACTGTAATTGTTATTGTTGTTGTTATTGTTATAAAGAAAGGAGTATAAACTTTAAAGAAAATTGTCATATTATAATGCGTGCCAGAACTGAAGCTTTCTCTTTATATAGATCTATTTAATAGTTAACTAACAATTACACAAAGCAAAGTGGAACACGGAAGTATATTTTTTGCTAATTTAATTTTCTATGCAATATATGAATGTCACGATTCTGATTCCTTTTTGCAGGTGTAATTTTTGTAAAACAAACTTTATATAATGGCATGATAGTATCATAGGAACTGTATAT